TTGGTTCACTTTGTGACTGCAAAAAAACTGACCTCACATTCATGATTTGACAGAAATATATTCAAACTGCAGATATTTTCAAGACCTCACAATAGCTTACACCCTGTTAATTTTTACTGATTTTATTTACTTTGAGTATTTTGCACTGTAAATACTGAGTTTTCACAAGTACACATGAAATGTAAGTATTTTTGGTCTAGTTTTTAGTCAAATATCTTAGCACACTTTAAATACAGCAAAACAACTTTTCAGGAAGATAGAGGAGCTTGTTTTAAGTCAATAATTTCCTAATCTAGATGAAAGAGTTCTAGATCCACTGGCAGATTATTCAGTTTATAACGACATTTGTCCCACATTATAAGTAAAATAATCTGCCAGATTTTACGTTTATATCAATATTAAGGAATTATTAACTTAAATTAAGCTCCTATATATTACTGAGAAATGAAGGTGCAACTTTCTCCCAAAACATCTCAGAAGTTTTCTAGAAAAAAAGGAAGCTTTTGAGTTGGAAAAGTTGAAAATTTGCTTTAAAAAAATTTAAATTAACCTTGACACACATCTTTTAATTGAACACCTGCCAGTAGCTAATACTTCTTATCAATATGAAGAAATTATTGACTCAAACAAGCTTCTTTATCTTGCTGAAAAGTTACTTGAAAGTGAAATTTGTCTTATTTTAATTATTCTAAGATATTTTCACTAGAAACTAGATCAAAAATACATGGTAAGACTGTCTTTTTGCAGTGAAGTAGGAAGATTTAAATGTAAGAATGTGTAAACAAACTTTTTAGCTCTCTTTTCAAAAAGTAGACACCTTACCTTTGAAATTGTGGATGCGCGCCCTCAGGTGTTTGCTCTCCTCCTGGATCCATTCCTCCATCCCTTTCCGTCCCATCCCAAAGTCTCGTAGAGTCGACAGAGTGAAGCGCCGCAGCTGACGCCAGCGCTCACCGTTACTGATCCCAATACCTGCCAAACAGAAGCAGGCATCCAGGCATATTTTGCAATAATTTTGTAATAATGGCATGAAAATGCAAATTCCTCTTCTCAAAAACCAATAAACCTCAATTTTGTAAAGAATGCTGAAACTAGAAGATCTTTTAAATATCCAAAATAAAATAAAAAAACAATGAAGAAAAGGACCTTAAAACCAAACACAACCAAAACCGTAACTGAAATGGATTATGAAGTCTCTGTAAACAAATTTTCCCTTCAAAACATTTAATCACCGGAATCCACTGCGAAAACGCAATATTTTATCAAGTATTTTTGTATAGTTTCTAGTGCCGTATCTTCTTACTGCTGAAATAAGTCAAAACACTTACAAGTAACTTTTCAGCAAGAAAGTTCTAGTTCCATTGTCAGATTATTTCACTTATAACAAGACATTTTACCAATATGACAAGTGAAATAATCTGCCAGTGGAACTAGAATAGGGTTGCTAGGTAACGGCCTGGGCTTGGCTGGGGTTGCTAGGTAACGGAACATTCTACTGGTGGAACTAGAACTTTTTCATCAATTATTGACTTAAACTCCTATATTTTGCTGAAAAGTTACCTAGAAGTTAGTTTGTCTTATTTCAAGTGTACTAAGATATTTTAACTTGAAATGAGACAAAAAATGCTTGGTAAAATATTTAATTTTTGTGGTGTAGAATTTATGGCGCTCATTCTTAGCCATCATGCAATTAATTGATTAATTGGTTATTGCAACAGGCAGGAAGACCATCAGTGGCAGATGATAGCGGTTACCGAATCCTCTGGTGACTTTGTGCAACAATGGCATCGGCGCTCTGCCTGTGAAGTCGTCTGCTTGGTCCACCAAAGCTTCCTTCACCGTGTCGTATCCGACCAGAACAACGACGCGCTGCCAGCCCAGGTTAAAGGTCATCACAGGACCATAGGTTTTACTGAACTAAATGTAAAAACAGAAGGTTATTTAAACAGAAAAACAAAACATTTGAGAAAATTCCAGGAAGTTCCTTTGTGCAAAAGTCAACAGTGAATTTCTTTCAGAAACCAAATCTTACCGAGTGATATTTGCCCTGATTTCTAGGGCATATATCACTTGAAATTAAACAAAACGTATTTCACAGAAACTTTTCAGAAAGATCTAGAGCTTGCTTTAAGTAATTAATTCCTTAATATTGGCAGATTATTTCACTCAAGATATTTTCTCTTTTTATAAGGGAAATAATCTACAAATAATCTATTTCTTGCTGAAAAGTTACTTGTGAGGTAGTTGTGTCTTCAAGTGAACTAAGATATTTGCACTAGGAGCTAGACAAAAATACTTGGTAATATTTCATGTTTTTGCATTTTTTAAATAAATCACTCCAGTCACTTCCTTGATCCACTCACCTCCAGCAAGCTTTTAAAAGGTTCATCCTTGTTTATTTGCAGCAGGTTTCCTATGAGCGGCAGTGGATTGGGCCCTGGGGGCAGACGGTACTTATGGTTGTTTTTAACAGAGAGGAACCAAAACAGACCGATCAGCCCTGCCAGCAGCAGGGTTACATAAAACTCCATGACTCTCTCTGGGGTTAGCAGGAGTCTCTCTGGATCAAACTCATTGGTTTTCCTGTCAGAGGCGTTGTTCAGATTTAACAGGGAGCGGTGAGGCCCATGTGATCCGACAGAGTGTACTTTCACCTGATTATCAGTGAAGAGCTGTTCAGCAGTTTTGCCTGGACAAACGCGCTCGAAATGCTCAGTGAACAGAAGTTTTTTTGTCACAAATTATGAAAATTATTTTCATCATAGAATAATTGACTTACAACAAACTCCATTTGTTGTAAATGGAGTTTACAACAAATGTAAGTTTTATAAAGTTGCTTATGATTTTTCAGTGTTAAGAGTTGAAGATTAGTCCTGCAGTGTTTGTAACATTTTTTTAAATATAATTTAATGTTTGCATTTGAATTGAACAGAAGGGAAATCTTATGTAAGTTTTAAAAAAGACCTTAGTTGTTCTGGAATCGGAGAATCTATTTTATGAAAAAGTTACTGTAGTTCCACTAGTAGATTATTCTACTGCGCCGTTACCTAGCAACCCCAGGGAAGCCCAGCCTGTAACCTAGCAACCCAGTTCTAGTTCCTCTGGCAGTTTATTCCACTTATAATTTGAGAAAAATAATCTACCAGTGGAACTGGAACTTTTTAATTTATATTAAGGAATTATTGACTTAAAACAAACTCTTATATCTTGCTGAAAAGTTTCTTCTAAGTTAGTTTTGTCTTATTTCAAATCTAACTCCTAATCTATAACTATTTAATTTGCTTATTTTAGTACTTTTCTGCCATCACAGTGAAGCTGATGAGTGACTCAAAAGTGCACAGCTGCAAAAAGCCCCTATCATCACTCCTCTACCACCATGCTTAATAGTTGGGATGAGTTACTAGTTCTAATAAGCACTATGAATTGTGGGTAAATACCTCCACTTTGATCTGGATCCCAAAGTATATTGTTAAAAAAATTTTATGGGTCATTTAGATCAGTGGTCCCCAAAGTCGGTCCTCGAGGGCCGGCATCCTGCATGTTTTAGTTCTCTCCCTGGCGGTAGTAACAATCTCTTCAGCATATCAGTGTTTTTCTTAGGTCTCTAATGAGCCATCATTTGATGCAGGATGCCGACCCTCCAGGACCGACTTTGGGGACCACTGATTTAGATGGAACTCCTTCTTATGTGTAAATCTGCAGCATCATCACCGCTCTTCGATTACTGATTTGCTCTGATCTGACGCAAACAGAGCAAATATTGAACTGGAGTAAAAGCCACAGAGTCATTGCAGGATTTATTTAACAATCAGTCGTAAATCTCCGTGCCAACTGTAGGAAAAGGCTGATCAGGTGAAAATGTAAATAGATGTTTTTAGATTACATCAAACACAGTGGAACGTTAGCACAGTTACAAGAAAACAAGAGGAAAAAGAACAGAAATGAGAGATAAAATGATCCCACACTGCAAAAATACAAAATATTAACAAGTATTTTTGATAGAGTTTGTAGTACCAATGTCTTACTACTCGTGAAATAAAAAAATATAGGAGTTTGTTTGAAGTAAATAATTTCTTATTGATGATGGAAAAAAGTTCTTGCTTCACTGGCTTTAATTTCACTTATAACAAGATATTTTTCCCACGTTATACATGTATTAATCTGCCATTGGAACTTTTTTTAATCAATATTAAGGAATTATTTACTTAAAACAAGTTTCTATATCTTAATGGAAAGTTTCTTGTAAGTTAGTTTTGTCATATTTTATGTGTACTAAGATATTTGCACTAGAAACTACACCAGAAATAATTGGTAAGCTTTTGTGTTTTTGCAGTGCAGTTAGTGTCTGGCCAAACTGGGAAACACACACAGTTTGTGTTCAGAGGAGTCAAGGTGATCAATTATTCACCTTGGGAGAGTGGGCATAAAGCCAGGAAGAACGCCTTCATTAGTTCATACATCAGATGTATAGATGACTTAATAATTCATCAGCAGTGACCTTATATAACAAAAGAACACTGATAAAGAGATTCTCCACTGCAAAAACACAAAATATTTTCATCTCGTTTCTAGTGGAAATGACTTATTACATTTGAAATAAGACAAAACTAACAAACAAGTAACTGTTAAGCAAGATTTAACAGTTTGTTTCTGATGAAAAAAATTACTAGTTCCACTGGTAGAATGTTCCACTGCGCTGTTACCTAGCAACCCCAGCCCAGCCCGTTACCTAGCAACCCAGTTCTAGTTCCACTGGTAGAATGTTCCACTCCGCTGTTACCTAGCAACCCCAGCCCAGCCCGTTACCTAGCTACCCAGTTCTAGTTCCACTAGCAGATTATTTCACTTATAACATGGGAAAAATGTCTTGTTAGAAACTAAATAATCAGTCATTTGAATTAGTACCTTTTATCAATACTAGGAAATTATTTACTTAAAATGTAAAAAGTTACTTATAAGTTAGTTTTCTAGAAACTAGAACAAAAATACTTTTTAAGATTTTGTGTTTTTGCAGTGAAGAACAACATTTTACCATGTGTTTTTGTCTAGTTTTTACTGCAAATGGTTTTGTACTCGTGAAATAAGACAAAACTAATTTACAGGTAAAATTTTTAGGAGATTGCTTTAAGTTAATATTCAATTAAAAAAGTACCAGTTCAACTTTAAAGCAAAACATTTCCCTCATAAACGAAATAACCTGTCGGTAATACTCGGAATTATTTATCTAAAACGAGCTTCTAAATCTTGCTGAAAAGTAACTTGTAAGTTAGTTTTGTCTTATTTCACGTGTACCAACATATTTCCACTAGAAACTAGATAAAAACCAGTTTGTTTTTGCAGTGTGCTCAGAGAACCGGTCACATAAACAGTTCCTTTTAAAAGGCAAATCCTCCGCAGTCAAATGCATCAAAGTCGGAGTCTCCTTCAAAGTCGAAGGTGTTGAAATGCGGGGAGTCGACGTCCTGGCTGCAGGCATGGAAGGAGCCGCCGGCGGGGAGATCGGAGAAGGCCCCGGAGCCTGGGGCCACGTCCGGGGCCCGGCTGGCCAGCGGCGAGGACGGGGAGCAGGAGCTGAGGTAGCCTAACGCGGAGGAGGCCGCCGCCCCGCCCATCAGCAGACACACCGCCCGCACCGCCCGCGCGTCGCTGCTGTTGCCATGGCGAAGGCAGTCAGACACGCGATGAGGCGGGGCGACGGAGTTGCTCCGCAGGGGCTGCCTCGGTCCAGCAGCTGAAAAACGACAAAAAACTTTGTTTTAAAAAACATCTGGATGATAAAAATAAAATAATCTATAACTGTTTTTTAATTACCATTAGAACCCTTATTTATTTATTTATTTATACTAAGAAAAAGATAAAATTAGGAGAATAAAGTCATAATATCACAACAATAAAGTAATTATATTACAAGAATAAAATAAAAAAATAAGAGAATAAAGTCATAAAATTACAAGAATAAAGTTATAATATTTAAAGAGATTAAAGTTTGGATGTTATCAGAATAAAGTCATAACATTAAAATTGTCTCGTAATATTTTGACTTTATTCTCATTATTTTATTACTATGTCCTTGGCATGCTATAACTTTGTTCTCATAATTGTATTTTTGTAGAGTGGTCCTTTACTCCATAGTACTTTAACCCTGGAAAACCCCAGTTACTGTTATAGCAGCGCCCCCGGTGGCTGGGTGAATGAACAGGTTTTAGGCTTGGAGGAGTGTCTAAATGTTGCTCCTTTGTTTTTATTTCTTCACTTGTAGAGGAAATGGCTGATCTGAGCTCTTCAGCTGTTGTTTTGGTATGTTTTCTGTGTTTTTCGGAGGCCGCTGACCTTGCTGTCGGTCTCTGAACGAGCCTCCTCTCTCAGTGACGCGGCTCAGAGGCGGCGTCGCTCCAGCAGCCCTGGGTGATCCGGGCTCCTTGTCGCTGGAGGAGTCCGGCAGCGGCTCTCTGTCTGTGATGCAAGGAGTGAGGCTTTGCTGTCTCTGAAGGGTCAAAGGTGACGTCACACCCTAGAAATGACAGAAAATAAACGCTACCTGCATTAAGAGAAGTAGAGCTACAAGTTTCCAACTTACAAACTTTGTTAAAGTGAAAAAGCATAAAACGAGAAAGTTAATAATCAGATTTGACCCTGTGAAGTTCAAAATGCTAAAGTACAGAGTCCCAGTTCACGTCTAATATTTTAGTATCCACTAATCAGTAAATGTATTTCATGCTCACCCCTTATATTACGACTGGAAAGCGCATCACAATGTAAACATTTCCTGTCAGTCTGTATCTGTAATTATTCGTGTTTTTTATTTTAAATAATTGAAATGCTGCCAGACTTGGTTTTATGACCTTTTATGTTTTATCCAGTTTTTTTCTCCACGGCGTTTTTGTTTTTAAGCAGTTATGAGGAACCGTAAACTGGTGCACAAGTTACTCAACACATCGTTGCTAGGTAACCAGTAGTTACTCAGAAAAGTTGTTGCTAAGTAACAAAGAATGAGTGAACTAATTGATTAGTTTATTCTTGTATTATTTTGACGGTTTTCTTGTACGACTTTATTCTGATAGTATAAATTGATTCTTGTACTTTTATTTTTTTTATACTAATTACTTTCATTTTGATTTTTAAAATACCAAAATTTCCTCATAACTTTATATTTTGGTCCATCTTACGATATAATTCTTAAATATTAAATGATTTGATTAGTTAATTGAGTCGCCTTTTTACCAAATACTTGGACGGCTACTTCTCACTTTTACTTGAGTGAAAAATATGTTGCTACTCTTAGTTTAGTAAAAGTTTTGGCTTCTCTACCCTCCTGTGTTTTCATTATTTTTTGGACGTCTGCATCTTATAACCAGAGGTTCAAACCTGCTATAAAACCGGTTTAGTGAGGAAACGGGACAGATGAAACATTAGTGACTGACCTCTCTCACTTTCCTGATTAGCTTCAGCCAAAGACTGTGAAAGGTAAGAAAAGCCGCGTTATTATCTCTGACACACATCCAGGCTATCAAACATTCACAGAGGTGGAACTGTCAGTCTGACAAACATGAGCAATAAAAACAAAGTCTGACAGTCAGTGGGACAAAGGAGGAGAGAACCTCAGCCGAGTTTATCGATGTTCCTGCATGTGAAGATAAGGTCTGATAAAAAGTGGGACAAAGAACATCTGGCACCCACATGCAGTCGTCGGGGTTGTCCGACAGAAGCAGCAGGAACTTGTTCTGGGGCAGGATGAGGGCAAAGCAGCAGTCTCTCCTGCCCCCCGGGGGCAGTCTGGGCAGGTCCAGGATTTCCCGTCCCTCCGCAATCGACTCACAGTTGGACTGTAGCGCCACCACCTGGTCCGGTGGAGACTCAGCGTCCCGGCACACCAGCAGGCTCCCCTCCATGGTGAGCACCAGGTACTTCTCCTTCCACTGCTTGAACATGAAGCCTCCTGCAGAGGGACGCAGACCGGATACACACTGTTTAACTGCTAAACGGGCAGCAGTCTGAGTTCAGAACTCTAAATGTTTCACTTTGAAACTGTTTCTGAGCATTTTCTAACAAATTTTTGGACTTCCCACAGGAGTCAAGGTTTTTCTAGAATATTTCTGAGATTAATCTAAATGTTTTTTGTTTTTTTACATATTTTTTGGAAATTTACTGCTATTTCTCATTTTTTGTATGACTTAAATCCATGAAATAAAAATATATCAAATAAAAAAATAAAAGGAAGTTACAGAAATTTTGCTAAATTTCTGTAAAAACGTTTGGCCAGACTTTTTTACAGAAAGTAAAAACATATAGAGCTTACATAAAGAAAATGCTGCCGAATTTGGTAGTACGGATTTAAACCCATAAAAGAAAAATATACCAAACTAAGACATGCACACAAAAATAACATTAATCTCTGAAATTTTGTAGAAAAATAACTTTTCTAAAATTGTCTACAATTTTCAACTTTTGAGATCCAAAAGTAAAAAAAAATGTTAAGCTTTTTAAACTCACAAATTCCACATTTAATCTCAAACCTTCTGAATTTTCTGTGGCAAATTTTATACTTTTAAAACTCAGAAATAACATTTTTCAATTTTTTTAAATATTTGTCGGAAATTTACTCCTGTTGCTCTTTTTATGACTTAGATGTGTAAAAGAAGAACGTCCATCCATCCATCCAACCATCCATCCAACCAACCATCCATCCAACCAACCAACCAACTCTGTATCTGCAGTTTTAAAAACAAAAGCTGGTGGATTTGGTAAGCAATACGCACTTCAGCTAAAATATGTGTCAGTATTTAAATAAGCGGCATCCTATATGAGAGTTAAATCGATTAAAGGAAAAATACATCAGATTAAACGGAACAGTAGAAACAGTGGGAGTCGTACCATATTTCCGGAGGAATCCTCGGTGAACGCCCGCTGTGCTCATGTTTTCCGCAGCAGAGACTGAAACGAAACGAGGCTGAAGCTGGAAATAGGCTAAGAGAGGGAGAGTGGGGCAATAATCCGCACTATTTAGGCCTTCATCACCTAAGCGCGGCCTGCTTCTCCTCACATGAACAACATATGAGCGCAAGAGGCTCAATAACCACAGCTGGACAAAATGCGTCACTTTCTTTTCTCAGCGCACAAATTTAAGGCTTTATTTTCACACTACACAGAAGGTGACGATAGATTTGAATAAATAAATCAAAGCTGAACTGTGTCACGCCTCCTGGCCTCGGCTGGCCTCAGAACCAGAGGTTCGGATCACCACCTGCTAAAGCAGATTAAAACAGGGATTATTATTCCCGCGCAGCTGGACTGCACGTCTGCTGCCCCAAAACTGCGGACAGACAAGTTGTTGTTTTTTTAATCTGAGTGCATCTCTTCACATGTTAGCTCTAAAGAGATGTCCTGTTTCCCAGCGATCGATTAATCGCAGCGCGTCGCGTTGAATTGTTGAGTTAAATGGCGCTAAAACCGCGTTACGCAAGCGGATGAGAATTAGCGAGGCGCATTCATGCGTCAGTCCGACGAGTCTCATGTTCACTCCGAAATGGGTTGGAAGATAATTACATTCAGACAGACGATGAAATGGAGAACAATAGCGATAAATAAAAGCGATGATAACCAATGAGCTTCTGAATATGAGCACTGTAAAACCGGACAAGTTAAATGGATACCGAGTGCACCAGTTGACTTAAAGGTTTATAACTCAAACTTTCATATTTTATTTTAGGAGATTCAATATACTAATGTTGATTATGTTGTACTAAAAGGACATATTTATTCATGTTCATGTTAAAATTAAGTTACATTACCTTAAATTGTTCATATTTAAACAACTAGATTTCTACTATGCACTGAAAAGAAACCAGAGTTAATAAGTAACAATCAGGACAGAGTACCTAAAATTGTACTCAAGTAAGAGTAATAAATAAGTAAATAAATAAATATCGTTTTTATTCAATTTTATGCCAATATTAATAACAAAGTTCTTTGTTTTTACATTAATTTATTCTGATCGCCATTTTGTTTCTCTTACAGTTCTATTGAACGACCAGCAGAGGGCAGCAGAGGACGCTGAATCGGGGATTGTTTAACAACAACAAAGTATTTCTTCTGTTTTCTTCCAAAAACCACCTGAACTTGATCCTGACAGAGCAGGATTTAAAATCTCACCAAGATTTTTTTTTTTTTGTTTAGTTTTTAGTGTAAATATCTTATTACGTTTGAAATAAGACAAAACTAACTTACAAGTGACTTTTCAGTGGCTTGGTTTAAGTTGGTAATTCTTTAATATTGATTTTTAAAAATCCATTGGCAGATTATTATCCTTATAATATGGGGAAAATGTCTTGTTAAAGTGAAATAATCTTCTAGTGGAACTAGAACTTTTTCATGAATATAAGGAATTATTCACTTGAAACAAGCTCCTGTTTTACTTTTTTTATTTTATTTCTATTTTATTTATTTTTTTTGCTGAAAAGTTACTTGTAAGTTAGTTTTGTCTTAATTCAAGTGGATGAAGATATTTCCACTAGAAACTAAACTAAAAATACTTAGTGAGATTTTGTGTTTTTGCAGTGTAGGCTTAGTTTGTAGATATTTTAAGACACTTGGTATTTCCTACACTTTTACTAAGTATTTTTGGTCCAGTTTCTAGTGGAAATATCTTAGAACACTTGAAATAAGACAAAACAAACTTACAACTAATTTTTCAGCAAGATATAGGAGCTTCTTTTAAGTCAATAGTTCCTTAATATTGATTAAAAGAAGTTCTACTTTCACTAGCAGGTTTTTTCACTTATATACATTTTATCCAGTTATACTAATACTTTTTCGTCAATATTAATGAGTTATTTACTTAAAACAAGCTCCTATATGTGGCAGAAAAGTTACTTGTAAGTTAGTTTTGTCTTATTTAAATGAACCAAACTAGTTGGTTAGATGTTGTGTTTTTGCAGTGTGTTTATCTGGTAGACCTTGACCTGTCAGGCCTCAGACAGGTAAGCAGGATTCTGGTGATTCTGATGCCCATCCCCCTCTCCCCAAAGCCAGACATCCCCTCCAGCCTGCAGCCGCGTTCAGCTTCAAAGTTTGTGTTTCTGAGTGGAGGACCCTCTTTTCTGGAACGGGAGCCCCTCCGCGACCCTTCCCCCCGCCCCGGCTCCGTCTCTGGGCTCCTATCAGAAACCACGGCTACGGCTCTTCATGAAAGGAAGAAAATATACAATGGGGTCTTTCTCAGTCCCTCTGTGTTTCCATTAAAGACCCTGGGAACACAACACAGTCCACAGAGACACTCTTAAAGGGCCAGCGCGTCTGAGATCCCGGCATTGTTTCCACAGGACTGAAGAGAAATCAGCCTCCAAAACAACAAAATATAAAAAAATAAAATAAACTATAGGACAAATTAAGAAATGAGTCAGGGACAGATGTGTTGATTTAATTAACTTGTGATGAGGTAGACTGCAAAAACACAGAATCTTACCGAGTATTTTTGGTCTAGTTTCTAATTCACTTGAATTAAAACAAACCTAACTTACAAATAAAGAGAACCGAGTTGCTAGGTTACGGGCTGGGCGTTTTCTGGGGTTGCTAGGTAACGTTGCATTGGAACATTCTAATATATTTTCATCAATATTAAGGAACTATTGACTCAAAACAAGCTCCTATTTCTCACTGAAAGTTACTTGTAAGTTAGGTTTAAGTTAGACTTTTCTTTGTGACCAGAAAAGTCTGGAAAACTGAGAAGCAATAAAGAAATAAACAACTAAATAACAACAAATAATGTACAAAAACACATGTAAAAACAAACATGCAAACTGAATCCAAACTCAGTTAATTTGTCAATAAATTTGCTGATTTTTTTCCCCTGTGTGATTATATATTCATGAATTAAAGCAAAGAAAGAAGAAATAAAAAAATATGCTCTCTGATCTCAGGATCTCGTTTTGAGTTGTGATTTTTGAGTATCAGCAAAAAAATGTCAAAATCACTCGGTTTTAGTGATGCTAACTCCCACCAGCAGGGGGTAGTGTTTCTTTCTTCTACTACTGCTGCATCAGTTTTACTGTGTTATCATCCATGATCAATATTATTGCAAAAATATCACAAAATACTTTGTGGATTTACTGCAAAAACACAAAATCTTACCAAGTATTTTTGATCTAGTTTATATTGTAAATATCTTTGTGCACTTGAAATAAAATAAAACTAATTTGCATAACTTTTCAGAAAGATATAGGAGCTTGTTTTCAGTGAATAATTCCTTAATATTGATTAAAATATGACATGGACAAAATGTCTTGTTATAAGTGAAATAATCTGACAGTGAAACTCATAGTTTTTCATGAATATTAAGAAATTATTATCTTAAAACAAGTTATTATATCTTGCTCAAAAAGTTACTTGTAAGTTAGGTTTGCCTTATTTAAAATGTAAATAAAATATATACACTACAAACTAGATCACAAATACTTTGAAAGGTTTAATGTTTTTGCTGTTTCATTGCAAGAAATAAATCAACTGTGAAATTTTGGAAAGATGTTGGTTTTCGGTGGGTTTAAATAAAAGTTGGCCCCCAAATGAAATTTGCTCTGGGTCTCAAATAAGTTTGGACCGGCACTGCTTGGAATATCTGAACTGGAATTCAATGTCACATGCTGTTTTTATTTTAATTATGTAAAGCACTTTGAAATGCCTTGCTGCTGAAATGTGATATATAAATAAAATTTGATTGATTGATTGATTGATTGATTGATTGATTGATTGATTGATTGATTGATTGATTGATTGATTGATTGGAATATCAGCTGATACGACATTTTTATTCACATTAAATGAAACTTCTTCGTCTGATTTAACTAGTTAATCAAAATAAAATGATTTTTTTTACCCTGACAGTCGTTATAATTAAATCCCAACTCGTTTTGTAATTTGGGTTTACTCTGCTGTAAGCATCATCCTGGGAAAGGAGCAGGGGTTCCCAAAGGCCGGGACTAATTGCGTCTGGCCCCTGACTTCAGCTCAAGAATGATGCAACTTTACAGATATGGAAACAATTTATTTATTTAAATGTTTAAATAATATTTAAAAATTTAGATTTTTTTTATTATTTAAATAAATATTTAAATAATATTTAAGTAGTTAAATGTTATTTAGTCAAATAAACAAGTCAGTAAATAAATGTTTAAATATTATTTAAATATTTATTATGTATTAGTAAATATTTTTAATTAATCATATGTATTATCAATAGTATTGTTTAGAAAGTATTTTAACTATATTGTATTTAAAACATTTTATTATTACCATTAAAAAAACTCTTATTTTTTTTATTTTAATTAAAAAAAGATGGAGACTTTCCATTTTTAGGTAGATCAAAATTATAGTGTCAAATCTTCTTACTACAGAAATTATTAACAATATAAATTATTTATCTTTAAACCTTTGCCTTGTCTTTCAAACTCTAAAATGTTTAATTGAATCTACTTTTAATACTTTTACTAAACTTGGTTAAAGATCCAGATTTTACTGTTCAGAATTTACTAAATTTTCTTTTGTTTTTCCAATTTACACCTAAAACTTAAATTATTTTGATTTCTGCATAGAAACTTTCCAGCAACAAATTTAATCCTTAGTTTATTGTTGAGGAGGTGCAAGAACATTTTTTAACCTCCGAGTCCCTTTGAATTAAGTTTGTGCACCCCTGATCTGATGTTTGAAGCCTCTCAGGATCCGTGCGTAATTAAAAAAAGAAAGAAAAGGACAATCAGCATGCTGCAGGGCTTCTCACCACCCTGGAAAAGAGGAGGAGGAACAACAGGAGGAGGAGGAGGGTGGAAAGATTTTGAGTTGAGGAATTTCAATCCTGTTTGTAGGGGAGAGGGGGTTAAAGAAAGTCAGAGGGGGGAATGTCTGAAGAGAGGAAAAACGTCGGGAAGCAGGCTGGTTTAAAAATACTCCCTCTGAAGCCAGAAATAGACTTTGTACAAACTAATCTAGGTGCAACGGAAGCTTATCGCGCTTCATTTGTGGACGAACTGGAGGTTTGTTGACCACAAAGAAAGAAAAGGAACAACTTTGGAGCAGAAGTTTGTCATCTTTGAAAGGGGGAAACGAAACGGCAGAATCTGCTTCGCCTCCCAGCTGTGGATCAAAACACTCTCAGCATCTACATCCAAACCGGAGCGAAACGCAGCAGAGATGCTTTGATGGAGTCCCGCTCCAGGTTGGCTGTTTTCCCCCTCAAGCCCAGTTTTCCAGGTGATCTGCCGGGAGGAACCATGGCGCGCTGGAGGTGCTGCTTTCTCATCCTCAGCGTCGTTTTTGCGCCCGTCTCTGGCGCACAGCTGTCAGGTACCTGCGGATTAATTTGACTGTATAAGTAACGAGCAATTTGCCCCGTGAGATTTCTTTTGATGTTCACTCCTTAAAGTAATTTGCTTTGAGGGCGCTGAGCAGCCGCAACATCTGGCTATCATAAATTGCTCTAAAGAAAAACGCACATTTATTATTGTTGTTGCAGACCTATAGCTTAATTGAACACCCTAACTATAAAAAACATCCTCCAATCAGAATTAAGTCGAAACAACAATACTTTTAAAATCAAACAAACATGTGATCCACTTCTAAATGTAACTTTCCGTGTGTTTGCAGTTTGATGGAAAAAAGTTGAA